ATATTTATTATAGTTACGCAAAGGCTTTTGATTGTGTGGATCATGATAAGCTATGGACAACATTGCGAAGTATGAGTATTCTTGAACTCTTGATTGTGCTCATGAGGAATCTGTATATGGACCAAGAGACAGTTGTTCAAACAGAAAATGGGAACACTGAATGATTTAAAATTAAGAAAGGTGTGTCACAAAGTTGTATTCTTTCATCATACTTATTCAACCTGTATGCTGAGCAAATAATCTGAGAAGCTGGGTTATATGAAGAAAAATATGGCATCAGGATTGGAGGAAGACTCATTAACAACCTGAGATATACAGATGATACAATCTTGCTTGCTGAAAGTGAAGAAGACTTAAAATATATACTGATGAAGATCACAGCCTTCGGTATGGATTGCATCTCAATGTCAAGAAAACAAAAATCCTTACCACTGGACCAATAAACAACATTCTTATCAAAGAAACGATTGAAGTTGTCAAGGAATTCATTCTTCTTGGATCAACTATCAACACTCATGGAAGCAGCAGTCAAGAAATCAAATGACATATTGCATTAGGCAAATCTGCTGCACAAGACCTTTTTAAAATGCTGAAGAGCAAAGATGTCAGCTTGAACACTAAGGTGTGCCTGACCCAAGCCATGGCATTTTCAATAACCTAATATGCATGCAAAAGCTGGACAGTGAATAAGGAAGACTGTAGAAGAAGTGATGCATTTGAGTTATGGTGTCGGAGGAGAATATTGAAAATGCCATGGATAGTCAAAGGAACAGATCTGTGTTGAAAGAAGTGCAGCCAGAGTGCTCCTTGGAGGCCAGGATGGCCAAACTTCATCTCTTATACTTCGGACATATTGTCGGGAGGGACCAGTCGCTGGAGAAAGATATCGTGTTTGGTAGGGTGAAGGGTCAGAGAAAAAGAGGAAGACCCCCATTGAGATGGATTGGCAAAGTGGCAGCATCAATGGATTGGCCCAGGATCGGGCAGTGTTTCATTCTGCTGTGCATAGGGTCGCTATGAGTCGGTACCGACTTGATAGCACGTAACAACAACAACAAATGCCCTCTTGTTAAATTGATCCCTTAATCTTGACATAATGTCTTTCTTTGACTCTTATGCTCTTTTTGTTTTTTTCTGCCTTAAGATCTATTTAATCAGAAATTAAAATAGATACTTCTGCTCATTTTTGATTGCCATTCACTTGATATATTTTGCCATCCTTTGATTTTTCGTCTATTTTTGTCTTTGTGTGTAAGATGTGTCCCTTGTAGATAACATATTGGAAGATCCTGTTTTCATATCTATTCTGCTAATCTCTGTTTCTTGATTGGTGCACTTAATCCATTTACATTCAGTATAATTATTGATAGGTATAAACTGATGACTTGTTTTGCTCTTTTTTTTTATGATTTCTTTGTTCCACTTAATTTTCTGCTTTGAGTTCATTTTGTTAGTGGGTTTTATTTTCATTTTCTTCATTTATGTTGTGTTGGTGTGGCGCTATAGATTAATTATCGGTCCATAAGTTCTGTTTGAATTGCAAGGTCGGCAGTTCAAATCCACCAGCCGCTCCTTGTCAGAACTGACTTGATGGCACTAAACAACAGCATTTACTAAATCTTCTGATTTCCCACTTTTTTATTTTGATGTGAAGGTGCATTCATTTTCTTTGAGGTTACTCTGTAATTTATTTATTTATTCCCCATTTAAAACAGTCTGTTTTATCTTGAAATCTGACTTTGTTGCCATTTGGAAGGTCTGTGTCTACACTATTCTTTTTGTGTTGTAGTTGAGTTCCTTATAAATTGATATATCTGGTTCCCTATATTCAGTCTTGTAGGTTTGTTTTATTTTAAATAGTTCTATATCTGGACTGAGTTCTAGGTGGTTTGTAGCTCAGATTGTTGGTTCTGAGTTTTAAAAACATCCTTTATTGTTTTTTGTAAAGTTTATCTTGCTATTACAAATTCCTTTAATTTCTATTTATCTGGAAATGTCCTAATTTTGCCATCATATTTAAGGTACAGCCTTGCTGAATATATGAGTCTTTCTTGACAAATTTTTTCTTTCAGAGTTTTTTATATGCTTTCCCATAACCTTCTTGCCTGCATGGTTTCTGCCAAGAAATCAGAGTTTATTCTTATTGGTTCCCCTTTGTTGGCAATTATTTTTTCTTTCAGAGTTTTGCACATGCTTTCCCATAGTCTTTTTGCCTGTATGGTTTCCATGGAAAAATCAGAGTTTATTCTTATTGATTCTCCTTTGTAGGTAGCTTCGTTTTCCCCAAGCTGTTCTCAGGATTTTTTCCTTGTCTTTGGTTTTGGAAAGTTGGCTTATGATATGTCTTGGTGATTTTCTGTTGTTGTCTCTTGTGTTTGGGCTTTGATCAGCTTCTTGTATGCTTATCTTTTTGTCTTTCTTAATGTTAGGGAAGTTTTCTTCCAACAATTCTTTGATAGTTTTCCCTGTACTTTTTACTGTCTCTTCACATTCTGGAATTCTGATCACCCATAAATTATTCTTCTTCATGGTCCCTCATAACTCTTAGGCTTTCTTTGGATTTTTTTTCATTCTTTTTTCTGATTGTTCTTTTAGCATATTGCTATTGAGAGATTTATCTTCAAGTTCACTAGTTTGGGCTTCCATTGTTTCAAATCTACTCCTTTGTCCTTTTAATGTATTTCCCATTTCTGAAATCTTAATATTAATCTCTGGATTTCTACTTGCAGCTTTTTTATTGTTTCAAAGTTTACATTTCTTTTGTCATTTGTTTTTGTGGTGTTTTCTTATATTCTATAGTTTTTTTTTTCTTTTCTGTGTTCTCATTACTTGCTTCAATCTTTCTATCAGTCCTTTGAGGGTACCTAGATATCATTCTTGTAAATTCCTTTTCAGTTAATTCATTACTTTTTTTCCCTCTGAAACATTTTCTGCTCTGCATCATGGTCGTTTGTTTATGCCATTCTCTCATTTCTTCCTGTCAGCTAAAATCGCCTGTTGTCTCCAGGACATTATGGTGTTGTCATATTTGTATTTAATTGGTAATTGTATGTTGGTGTGTTCCTAGACTCTTATGAATTGTCCTCTGTGGGTATGATTAAAGAATGGAAGCAAGTGCACCATTTTTCATTCACCATTCATGCTGTTTAGTTTAGGATGGGTTTGGCTGGTGGGGCAGATGTCTGTTGTTGATCAGGTTGTGTAGGAGCTGCTAATGGCTCTTTTCCAGTGGGTGGAGCTACAGAGGGTACTTTTGTTTCTTGACTGTGTGAGCATGGTGCTGTCTTCTGCTGGGAAATAAGAGGGCCCCTGCCGCTCCCCCCTGACACACACACCAAGAAACAAAACAGAATAAACAAACAAGCAACCATCAATGAAAAGAGATAATAGTTAAGGAGAGAAAAAATAAACAAAAACAGGCAGCAATCAGATAAAAGAATATCATAACTAAGAAGAGGGACGTGAAAATTGAGCTACAGAAAATAAAAATAAGAGAGAAAATAAAAGGAAGAAATAATAATAAAACAACAACAACAAAAGCAAAACACTTAGAAAAATCAGGGAGAGGGAATATGAAAATAGGAAGATAGGGAGAGAGTAGAGAGAAAGGAGAAAAAAAAAGAAGAGGAAATGAGAAACAGAAGATAGGAAGAATATAATTCAAGAGAATGGAAAGAGGATTAGGAGAAAGAATAAATAATGGAAATAAATGAAACAACAAAAGGAAAACACAAACCCCAAAACAAAAAAAATCAATGCAGGAGAAAACTCTGGAGGTCTCCTTCCAGTCAAGGAGCTCACAATTTGGATGTGGGAGGGAGTATCTGGCCCTTGGTGAATTTCCTGTTGGTCTAGGTGTTATCTATGTTCAGAGCACTCAGTCTGGAAGTAGTTTATGGAGGCCCTTGATGGATTTGGTTTCAGTGTCTATTAGGACCATAGAGCAACTGGGGGCAGGGTGACTGGTTAGATGTTTGTCTAGTGGCTCTGCAGGTTCTGTAGGTCTGGAGCCAAGCCCACCTGAATCCAGGCAGCTAGGCCACACCTCACACTAGTGTGGCTCCCAACCACATAATTCTAAATTCCCAGAGAGCAGGGGGTGGATGAGGGTGGAAACTGGCCACACCTTTCGTTACCAGGCAAGCATAGAGAAAGAGAAAGAATCCCATCTTTCCAGTCATCTGTGTGGATTTACTTTGCCAGGCCACCTTCTGTTTCCAAAGCTGCTCACAAACATTCAAAATGGTCACGCCCTGTCTGGACTGTAATTCACCAGTCAGTCTCCTTCTCTTATCATCCCTGCTCAATTTTTCCTTCCAGCAAGCTAAGAACACTTCTCTAAATGTTCTTCTGAACTTCAATGTTACAAGATTTTCATCTGTGTCTGTTTCATTTGGTCTCTTGTATCTTTGTTAATAGAAGGTTCATGTAGTGCATCTCCCTAGTCCACCATCTTGCCAGAAGTCCCCATCTGAACTTCTTAATAAGTACTATTTAGATTAAGTCTGTAAAGTGCTTTGAATATACTGGAGAACTGAAAGCTTTAAACAAAGACAGGATATAGAGGTGTTCGAAACATAAAATATTTGATTTTAAACTTGTAAGAGTGACTGAAAATATGCATGTGGTATTTGGATTTTTAAAGATAAAAATAATGTAGGCATAAACTCGTGTAGTCCTAAAGAAGTCCTATTATTAACTCAAAACATAATTGTGTGGAAGCAGTTTCTATGAGTAAAATATCCACTAGTATAACAGAGTAGAGTAAGATTGTCAAGTATATTTAGTTAAGAAATTAATGTGAACACTCCTTGTTTATTTATATCTGAAAGCAATATTTTGATAAATATTTAGTTCTAAGTTATTCTAGTTGTGGTATGTGGAGTCTGTGGAGTCAGAGATGGGAAATTGATTTAGTGATAAAAGTACTAACTATTGGGTCTCATCGGATTTCTACATGAAGATAAAATTTTTACCCACGATTTCTATTTCTGTTACAGGTTAGGGTATGCAAGAATCTCCCATGCTGAACTCAGTGACTCTGAAATTCAGATAGCTAAATTTAGGATCCCTGACGATCCTGTTAATTATAGAGACAACCAGAGAGTAGTCATCGACCATAGAGAAGTTCCCAAGAAAGTTCATTTCAATCCCAGGTGAGTGAGTTACTCTGTGGTACAGATGACTGTTATCAGTGAAAACAAAGGACATCTTAGTGAGATGGATTAATACAATAGCTAGAGCAATGGATTCAGTCGTCCTGATGACCATGATGATAGCACAGGATGGGTGATGTTTCCTTCTGTTTTACATAAGGTCACCATGAGTCAGAGCCAGCTGAACATTTATGAAATGCTACAAGCCCTCTTGGGAATTGAAATATCACCTCAAAGCTGTATTTGGTTCTAGAGGTTCATTCCAGATAAGGGAGCTAATGGGAAAGATAATATTTCAGTTGAAGCTATGGTCCCTGCTTTCGGAGATATAGAAAAACCTGTTGAGGTCCTAACTTCAGGTAAAAAAATATGGCATCGTCATTATTGCCACTATCCTTAGCATTATCATGTTGTTGTTAGTTGCCATTGAGTCGGCACCGACTCATAGTGACCTTATGCACAGCAGAACGAAACCATGTCCAATCCTGTGCCAACCTTGCTACTGTTGCCACACTTGAGTCCATCAATGCTGCCACCTGGCCAATCCATCTCATTGGGAGTCTTCCTCTTTTTCTCTGACCCTCCATCTTATCAAACATGATATCCTTCTCCAGTGACTGTTCCCTCCTGACAATATATCCAAAATATGAGAGACGAAGTTTGGCCATCTTGGCCTCCAAGGGGCACTCTGGCTGCACTTCTTCCAAAACAGATGTATTGGTTCTTTTGGCAGCCCATTTTGAATACTAACGAGCCTTTGTGGCATAGTGGATTATGCATAGGGCTGCTAATTGCAAGGCCAGCAGTTCGAATCTACCAGCTGCTCCGTGGGAGAAAGAGGAGGTTTTTTGCTCCTGTAAAGTTACAGCCTCAGAAATACTATATAAGGTCATTATGAGTAGGAACTGACTTGATTGGCCTTGGGATTTTAACTATGTCTCAGGAAATGTTAGCTTAATTTTTAAGCTCTCAGTTGATCAATGGAAGGTTGTCAGTTCAAACCCACCCAGTATCTCTGTGGGAGAAAGACGTGGGGATCTGCTCCAATAAAGTTTGCTGTTCACAAAGTCCTGTGGGGTAGTTCTGCTCGGTCACATGGGGTCACTGTGAATCAAAAATTGACTCGATGGTGCCCAATCACATCAGTATGTCTCAGGTCCTATCCCAGGTGCATTGTCTGTGCTCAGTTTGGCACTCTCATTACCCCTGTTTTATAGAGAAGGAAACGTAGGCTGAGCAACGTGACAGCGCTAGTGAGTGGGAAGGGAGCGTGCTAGCATCCTTGGGTTGCCGTGACTGTCAGTACGTTAGACTCATCTGGCATACTTTCAAAAACTACCACTGCCTGGACCCTACCCCAGACCAAATGCAGAAGTTCTTGAAATGGTACCTGGACTTTGGGATCGAAATAGTATTTTCAGACTATTCTGAAGTACAATTATGATTGAAGATGACAGGCATAATGTAACTCAGACTGTGGAGAGTGGATCATTTGTTTTCATTGCAGATATTCAACCATGTGGAATAGATTGAGTTTGGTTTTGCTTTTAATAGAGGTTACCTAAAATAGCTATCTGCAGCACCACATAGGATTTAGAATATATACTCTTTTCTCCTCCATGTCAGCATTAATGAGAGGAAATGTCTCTATAAAAAACAAACTTAGAACATATGTTCATGACTATTATTATGTTTGCCAGCTAATAACTATAGAAATTGCTCAGGCTACATTTTGTTATGAAAAAATAAAGATATTTCCCCATTCTCCGTTTCTTCTTTGTCCTACCTTATAACAAGAGAAAACAGCACTGAAGTGTAGGCAATTACGTGAGAAGCAGTTCCATTGCTTGCTGGACCTTTTTCTTGCCGTTTATACATGTATGTGGTCATGAAGAGTATAGACTCTGGAGTCAGAGTAAAAAGTACAAACTATTTGGTCTCATTGGATTTCTACATGAATATAAAATATATCTTTTAAACCAGGGTCAAGTGACCTGAGTTCATTTCCTCACTCTTGCCTAGTAAAAGCTGGGTAACTGAGCAAGATATTTAACCTCTCTAAATCACAAGTCCTTCATTGAGAGAAAAAAAAAAAACAAAAAAAAAAAACACCATCTAGTGCCTAAGGAGACTTTGGGTGCTTTGCTGCCAACTAAAAGGCTAGAGACTCAAAACCACTAGGGGAGAAAAGACCTGATGTTCTGCTTTCATAAAGATCGAAACCTAGGAGGTAGTTCAATTTTGTCTTATAAGATCACTGTGAGTCTGAATCAATGCAACAACAGTGCCTTGCTCTTACGGTGATCTCAGGTTTGAATGACACGTAGAGATCTTAGACTAGTTCCTAGTAAATGATCGTGGTGGTAGTGGTGGTTGTATGCTGTGGAGTCAGTTCCAACTTATAGCGACCCTGCATAGGGTTTCCAAGGCTGTAAATCTTTACAGGAGCAGAAAGCCTCATTTTTCTCCAGTGGAATGACTGGTTGTTTTGAACTGCTCACCTTGAGGTTAGTAACCTGACTCATAACCACTACACTACCAGAGCTCCTGTTGTTGTTAGGTGCCATCGAGTCGATACTGACCTATAGTGACCTTATGCACAGCAGAATGAAACACTGCCCAATCCTGGGCCACCCTCACTATTGTTGTCATGCTTGAGTCCATCGAGGCTGCCACTTGGCCAATCCATCTCATTGGGGCTTTTCATCTTTTTCTCTGGCCCAAACATGATATCCTTCTCCAGCGACTGGCCCCTCCTGACAATATGTCTTCCTAGTAAATGCTCAATGGCAATGACAAAAATAGTGTTGGTAGTAATACTGTTGTGTGTTGTGGAGTTGGTTCTGATTCACAGCAACCCTGTGTAGAGTTTCTGAGAGCGGCTTGTGGGTTTAAACTGCTGACCTTTCAGTTACCAGTTCAGTGCTTGTCCTATAGTGCCACACCAGGGCTTTGTAACAATAACAGTGGAGGTAAAATTAGGACGTTCCCTCCTCCTTTCGTGGGTTGAAAATGCTTCTTAAACTGAGACAAGGAAAAGATAAATTAGAAACAGTGAAAACTAGTTGGTCCTATTTTTTCTACCAGAAAGAGACTTTCTTATTTCTCTATTCTTTATATATGAGGAGTGTGGAGAAACTTAAAGTATTTTTAGCTAGCCTCAACTGCAGATTAATTCTAACCAACTGTGAGCAGGCTATATATCTGTTTTTCTACTCCATTTAATCATGAAAATGATGAAAGCATAAGTAGAAAGGCTCCGTTGATTTAAAGGAATTTAAATTCCTTAATTTCTTATTAAAAACACACACACTTTTAAACATTTATAAAGTAGAAATAGGCAAAAGAACAAAATTTACAAAAAGACCCATCTATTTTAATTTCTTAATCCAATAAATATTCATAGAGTGCTACGATGCAAGCCAGCGCTATGCTGTGCCTTGTACAAGAGAGAGAGTAGGAACGAAGTCATGTCCTAGTGGGGAGACAGGCAATGCAAACGTTATTACTGGTAATATTTTTGGTATGTTCTTTTTTTTTTTTTTTTTAATACAAGGTTGACTGTTCAAACCCACCAGCTGCTTCTCAGAAACCCCATACAAGGTGGCTATGAGTCGGAACCAACTCATCAGCACTTAACAACAATTTTGCTTTTTAGATACACATATGCATAGAATATATAATGACCCCAACTTTGTAAATATATGCATATTTCATTGGATTCACAATCAGCACTCATGGAAGCAGCAGTCAAAAATTCAAACAATGTATTGCATTAGGCAAATATGCTGCAAAAGACCTCTTTAAAGTGTTCAAGATCAAAGATACCAGTTTGAGGACTAAGGTGTACCTGACTCAAGCCATGGTATTTTCAATGACTTCATATGCATGTATAAGTTGGACAGTGAATAAAGGAAGACAAGAAGAGAATGAATACATTTTAATTATAGTGTTGGATAAGACTATTTAAAAGTATCATGGACTGCTAGAAGAACAAAAAAACCTATATTGGCAGAAGTACAGCTAGAATGCTCCTTAGAAGTCAAGATGGCAAGACTTCATCTCTCATACGTTAGATATTTTATCAGTACCAGCAGGGATCAGTCCCTGGAGAAGGACGTCATGCTTGGTAAAGTGGAGGGTCAGTGAAATCCTGCCATGGAGATGGATTGACACGGTGACAGCAGCAGTGAGCTCAGGCATAACAGTTGGGTGGATGGCGCAGGTGTTTCCTTCTGTTGTGAATAAGGTCACTATGAGTAGAAATGGCTCTGCAGCACTTAACAACATATATATGTATACTCACATGTACATATGTGTGTGCGTACATATATATGGCTGTTGTTTTTAAGTGCTATCAAGTTGGTTTTCACTCAGAGCGACCCATGAACAACAAAATGTGTATGTGAGGAGTCCTGGTGTGGCACTATAACATAAGCTAGCCTTAAGGTAGGTGATTCAAACCCACCAGTTGCTCCTCAGAAACCCTGTATGGGCTGGTGAGTTTGAACCACCAACTTTGTGGTTCACACCGACCTTGCAGTCAAGAGCTTTATCCTACAGTGCCAAACCAGGACTTCATTTGGATATTGTTGTTGTTAAGTGCTGTCGAATCAGTTCCGACCCATAGTGACCCTGTATAGGGTTTCCAAGGAATGGCTAGTGAGCTTGGACCACTGACCTTATGGTTCAAACAACTTTGCAGTCCAGTGCATTAGCCCGCAGCCCGACACACAAAAGGAAGGCCGTTGTTCAGGTCTTGCCTTGCTTTACAGTGTCTTTTGTATTTCATCATAGCAACCAGAGCTATATAATTCATAAGCAACTCATGTGCAAAGTAAATAGTTGATCTGCAGTATGTGCACACTTGTAGATTTGGAAGCAAGGCCAAAATAGATTTTTATATACACATAAGTGTAACACTAATAGCATTTCAGGCTTCATGTCTGCTTCTCCTGTGAAATGGAGGTTATCAAACGGATGGCTAGAGAGAAGAATCCAGACTTTATTTTCAGCAATGCTTTCAGCCAACAAGTCTTAGACAGTTGTGCTTTTGGAATGACCCATGACCATAGAAAGAAGAGTTTGGAGGTTAACATTTAGGAGGTTAACAATCTGCCTTTCCATATGCATGAATCCTTTTTTTTCTAATCTCTTTATTTTCTGCTTAATGAATTGAGCATATCTTTGGTTTTATGACAGATAAGTAAAACCACAGTGAATTATGGTTGATATTTTATATACCTTGATAACTTTTTTGAATGTTTGTACATGCTGATGTGTTTTTGTTGTTGTTATTTTCTTTGTTTTTTAGATTTGGATCCTATAAAGAAGGCCACAATTATGAGAACAACCATCATTTCCATATGAATACTCCCAAGTACTTTTTGTGAACTATTTCAAACAAGCAGTCATTAACTTGGCAAGTCTAAAGAGGAAAAACAAAAAGCAACCTAAGAAGAAAAGATCAAAAAAAGTGGGAAAATATACACAAAGGACCTCAGCTTCTTAAAAAGTATGGCATCTATGCACTGGAGAATTATACCCATTTATAAAATATTGCTTAATAAAAGCATTTCTCCCCATTGTTTGAAAGTATAAGAAAAATGAAATCAAACAGTCTTAAATCATTCTTTGGGCAAAGCGGGGGAAATGTTGAATGTATATGTTAATTGCTGGAAGACTAATCAGCAACAAAGCATCTCCATCACCATTCTTCCCCGAGCTATGAAGTATCATCTGTCTTTCCCCCTTCACTCTTTGGCAGTACATGATGCACTGAGCTGATGCTTCCAAGTCAGTCAACCTACCAGGATCTCAGCAAGCACGCCTCAACACACCAAGGGATTTTGTGGATTTTCTTTGCTAAACTAAACAAAAAGGTAAAGGAGAATTCAGCTTAATACCACAGTCTCTATTCACATGGAACAGTGGTGATTTGAATGTTTATGAAAGCACCTAAGACCTTAGGACCACCTGAAAGACCCTGATTGTTGTTTTGTCTTGGAAGTTAGGGTTAAGAATGTTAAGAAAGACAATTTCCAAGGGGTTTGCGTCACAATCTAAGGAGGGTTCCTTGGATCCATTTAATAAAAATGTTTCGAGCATATTGCCATATGTAAAAACATTTTGTTTTTGTAGTGGTTTTAAAGATATGTTCACAGATGATCAATACGTTCTTCAAAAGGTGGCACCTAATATGCCTCTCTTTGAATGTGGGCTGGGCTTAGTGATTTACTTTCAATGAAGAAGATAAAGTGAAAGAAAGACTTCTAAGTCTAGGTTGCAAAACTCATTGGAGCTTCCACCTTGGCTCTGGAGAAGCAAGCTGTCATGCTGTGAGCAACTGTCTGGAGAGGTCTGCATGGTAAGGATCTAAGGCCATTGCCAACAACCACATGATTCATCTGAGATGTGAAACCTCCCATTCATGTCAGTCTTCAGATGACTTTCAGCCT